TAGTCATGTGATGATTATCTTAGGGTGATCCTTTTTTCGACGGATGCTCCTATCACACACGTAGTCTCTGAAGTATGAGAACCAACTATGTAATATCTACATCGAGAATTCAAGTATTGTATACGTCATTAGTCTGGTCCTTTGTAGGAACTACCCATAATAACGAACTTGCAAAATGATTTTGTTTATCATAAAGAGATTTGTTGTTCCTGACCCTACTTCATCTTAATTGTTATTTGAACAAGTAAAAGTTATGTCTTGGTCCGAGTGGGGATAGTATTTCTCTTCTACATGTTCATAAAGTTTTGAAAAATCCAAACATCTCAGATATCGATAGAGAGGTAGGAATTTATCGAACGAACCTCACTCCTTCGTATACGCTAGGTGTCCATTGATGAGAAAGGGCTAGGGAAAGCTTGAACCCAATTCCTACGATGATGAATATAAACTCAATTTAACTAGTATTGTAGTAAATTTATTTTGATATAATATAATGTATATTATGTTTTAAATTCCTTTTATTTTATTTCATGAAAAATTTACCCGTCTTTATGAGTACATCTTTTTGCTTCATTCCGCTTCCGTTTGTTAATTGTTCATCCCAATTTTGATACTCCTTAATTTTACATAAATTAGAACATAGTGTGTAATTTAGAAATCTAGTTGCTGAAAATCTAGCTCGAGAATACATGCATCATCCATGTAAGTAGCTACATAGACTTTAGGTAATTAATACTCGAGAATACATGCATCAAGCATATCTTACGTGGCAGATAGAATTTGCATGTTTAGGACTTCAATGGACATTTATGGATGAACGATAATGTATAATATGAAAAATTACAAAAATACCCCTAGAATGAGAATTGATGAAGTAATATTTAATGTTTTCTACTATGCTAGAAAGGAGGAAGGAAAATCTTGTGATGGTATTTGATGGACGTTATCACCCCGTTGATCATGTTTGAATTGCATGCTAAATTGTATGCTAGATTCAAGTGAATGCATGTATGGATTATGTAATTTTGTGCTTAGTTGATTGACAGGAATATCTCTCTAATAAGCATGCATGAATGTTTAGAATAAGATTTTGATGTTTGTGATCAATAAAATATCTATATAGCAAAACACGCATGAATCAAATTAAGTTTAGGGTACTAGAGCTAGAGCGGTTTTATAGTTTATTTAAGTGAGTACATTTTTAGTTGATCGAGTACCATAGGATCATGAGCAGTAATCAGATGTATAGACTCGAGTGCACCCAGAGGGTGGATTATCCCTGAGAAGTTAGTCCCGAACGTCCTAGAAACGAGAGACAAGATGTAAATCGCCTAGATGCCTCAAGAACCTAGTAAACTTCCATGGAAAAAAATGACTAAGAAAACCTGATAAGCTTGGTAGTAGGGTGAACAATGTCACCCGAAACCCCTAAAACCATTGAGTGTCAAAACGAATGAGGGGCGGAAGCCACGGTTCAGTAAACTAGTCTCGAAGAGAGATTATTGACTACATGGGTGGTAAGCTCATCTAGTGAGTGTAGAAACCGATAAAGGAAAAAGTTGAAATTCGTAAATCAGTCTTAAAGATAGATCAGGAACTACATGGTTAGATAGTATGAGGCGTATCTCTATTGTGTGTAGAAACTAGTGAAGGCTCACATCTCGACCTTGTAAACCAGTTCTGAAGAGGGACTAGGGACTACACATGTAAATATGTTTAGGCGAACATGTCTATTGAGTATAGGAATGGGTTAAGACTAATGTCACGACTCCATAAACCAATCTTGAAAGAGACTAGGGACTACATGGACAAACATCACGAGAGAGTGCTTCTATGAGTGTAGAAATGGGACAAGGAGGAAGTCGCAGTTTCCTAAACAGATCCTGATAGATGACCAGCGACTACACGGGTAGTTGACTCATGATTGATGATTAAGATTTGCTTAGGACTTCGAGACTTACCCAGAAACTTAGATAGCTATAGTAAAGATTATATTTTATTATGAATTAGTATCAACTCTTGCAAGGAAAGCCTCTTTCTTTTTCTTTCTTTCTCCGATTTCATTTTCCTGATGAGGGGTAATAAAAATTGTGGGTAATAAGAATTGTGGGTTATAAGGTTTTGTGGGTAATAAACAATGTGTATTACACAGCAAACAGTCGATTAGCCACACCAAAAACACCGAAGGTGGGTTATAAGGTTTTGTGGTAATAGGCTATGTATATTACACAGAAAAGCAATAATCCGCCACACCAAAAAGAGCAAAGGGTAGCCACTCCAAAAAGAGGATACGCCACGCGCTAAAGTATTCCCCATCTTTTCATTCTCTACGGCGTCTACGAGGGTCGATAACTTTCCGGTGTGTGTTATTCAAATTATCATCCAATGGAAAGGTAAAGTCGAATACAAAGCAGATAACTGGCCTTGTAATTCGCATCCCATGAATGTTAAAGAGGATAACTCACCCGTATTATTATCGTGGTCTCTAGGCTGCAATGTGTGATCGTGTCTCCTCCAGCTTTTTATCAGAGTAGTCGGGCGTTAAAGCATGGTTCCAACTACCTTATCCGGAGAACGGCGTAAATAGAGGTCAACGCTGGTCTATCTTTCAGCGTTTCGTCTATCATGGGATGATTTCATTAGGTTGATATAACTAATGCGCCACTTCCCGAGACAGGACCGTATTCTATATTGAATGATACTAGAAACCGAGCCCAATTATTGATGTATAGTTGCTTGTTATATCTCTAAAGAGTAAACGTCATACCACTGGTGCCCCACTCCACAAGCATGATGCTGTCTCCGATGGAAAGCACGACCAAACCATCGGATTAGGCGAACAGTGGAAGGTGCCGCACTCCAAAAGCATGATCCTGTCTCCGATGACCATCTCAACTTCCATCGGAGTAGGCGAACAGTGGAAGGTGTAAGGAGTAAGGAGTAAGGCATTCAATGGTCTGAGTTATATGTTTGTTTGTGTTAGTGTGTGTTCTGAAAGCTTAGTAGTACTCTAAAGGGTCCCACTTTCTTTGTTGGTGGTCCTTTTCAAGGAGTATGTGTTGAGAAAGTAGTACTTTTGATTTTTGCAAGGAGTCTAAGTTGTTTAAGAATAGTAGTACTCTAAAGGGTAACATTTTTCGTGGAGTACTTTTTTGTGAACTTTCCAGAGCCCATAGTAAATCATGTGGATATGTGTTGGGTTAAAGATGGGATGAGAGCCTATATATAGGTTATTTATTTGGTATATTTATGTACTCACCTCTCTTCCCTTTCTTTTCCCGGTAAATCATGTGGATATGTGTTGGGTTAAAGAAGGAAAAGTGTTTGAGAGTTGTGCAGTCATAGATGGGTCATTTCAGAGCATCAGCGAGTCTTTTATATTTTATTTTGTAATTATATCCTAAACTCATTTTTCCCATTTCTAATAAATTTGAAGAGCACCTACTTGTAGTTGGATTATAATTGAATTTTATTTTGTATTTAATTTCGGTAATGTTGGGACTAATTTGATTTTAAATCTTACCTTAATTTTTTTTTTTTCGCTTTTGTCTTTTTTAGTCTCACGAATTCAAAGTCTTGAAAATTGAGTCATGGGATATAATATATTAAATATTTACTTAAACACTTCAAATTAAATATATTTCCTCTTTTTATATTTATATTGTATTTAATGTTAATTTTAACGCTTCAAATTAAATATGTTTTTTTCTCTTATATTTAATATAATTATCTAATATATTAATATTTAATTGGAACCATTCAAATTAAATATACTTTTCTCTTTTTATATTTAATATGTAGGCTAAATTAATATATAAAAAAAAATACTCCTAAACTTTTAAAATTTTCAGGAAAAGTACCCTTAATTTTTAATAGTGTCTCAAAAATATACTTGAAGTTTAAAAAGTTGTACACTTCTCTCCCACTTCACACCTTGGAAGGCACCGTTCTTGTAGGAAGAGGCGCTTTCACATCTTCTTAACCCAAAATGGCAAATGGCTAGGGAGAGGAAAGGTTCCTTTTTTAGGGTACCCGTAGGAAAAGATCCAGTGGAGACGGGGTGGGGCCTGTAGCTCACGTGGCTGTGAAACATGGTGAAGTTTAAAGAGTTTTATTAATACCCTTCAACATTTTTGTAAAAAGTTCAAAAATATTTTTATTGTTACTCATGAAATTTTAATAGTAGTATTAATATCCTCTACCTTTACCTTTACCTTTCTGAAAAAGTTCAAAAAAAAATTATTAATATCAATATATTGATGAAAAACCGTCTATCAATGCCTCATAAATTATCTACAAACGTTTTAATGTTCCTTGAAAGTTCATGAATTTTTTTTAAGTATTGATGGTAAAGTTATTATTTTAATGTTTTTTAAAAAGTTGCAAAAAAATTTTGAATTTTTTTTTTAAAGCAGATATTAATGAAATTTTTGAAATAAAACATTATTTTTTAAATACATTTTAAAGTTAAAAGATATTTTTTATTTTAAAAGTTCAAAGGTATTTTTTAACTTTTTTTTTTTAAGTGAGCATATATTTTATTAACTGTGAACTTCACGAGGAGACATTATAGACCTACTAACTATAAGCTCTAATAATATAAAGTTAATTAATTGAACTCTTTAATTATCAACTTTAATTCATTAATTATATGTCAATTTACTATAAACCTAAAGTTGCATTTGATTGCCATATAAGTTGTGTGCATGGATATAATAACTACAATAAAATGGATCCTTTACGAGTTTTTCGTAATTATAGCTAGGCCAAAAATTTATTTTACCTTTATAATTACATCATATACCTTAAGTTTCATTTATCCTCTAATAAAAAAAATTCTTATGATCCAAACCCAACTTCATAGTAATTTGAAGCATAAATACCCAACTTCATAGTAATTTGAAGCATAAATCATGACTTTGATTGATTCAACGAAGTAAAAATAAGGTAAATTTTTTTGCTTTTAAGAAAAAGACTTGGGAGATATAAAACATACCTACAATATATACTTATAACATTCAAAATAGTGTTTGAGTTCAAATATAAAAAAGAAACCGATTACAAAAATAATATCAAGACCAAACCGATACAAACCGATGGGGGCTCTCAACACTAGGTTTGGCTCTCTTTGGCACCTGCTCTAGATCCACTCCCGCTCTTGACCAACTTCTGGTTATTATCTAAAAATAAGTTGGATGATCATTTAATTTATATTTCGCATATAAATAGACCACATTAGTGCCATTCATTTTGATACTTCTAAAATTTAGAATTTTCTTTTTGTACTTACTAAGTAATCCCAATGTTTCTGTATTTGCATTTGCATGATATGATATGAATATGATATGAATATGTAAGCTGATATGATATGGTATGATATGAATATAATAAAGGATATATCGAACACCTATAATTGATAGATACTGGTGAATTAAAATACAGAGCTTACTTGAACATCCCATTCTTGTCAATGGCCTAAGTGTTGAAAGCCGCATGTATTTGAACCTTCTTAATTTCTGGTAGCCATTAATGAATGGGGGATTCCTATTTGGACTCCCAAAAGATAATTTCACCTTGCTCCCCACATAGCCCAAGATCCTTTAGCCTCCTTTCTTGGTAATATTCCAATTCATCTAATTCTAGTTCCCTGTCTTTGAAAATTTTGATTATTTGCTGCAATACCCTTTTCTCCCCTTCCCTTATTCCAACAGCAATCCTCAGTCTTGAATCAAGCTTTTCTTCTTTTAGCTTCTCGTCCTGCAATTCATCATCCTTGTCCAATGAGGACTATATAGAGACAAGTATTGGAGTTTAGAAATTAAAACTTATAACATGGTAGGACTAAAAATTTGATTTCTAAAGAAATCATTAGGAGATGCGAACTCGAAAGCCAGAGTAAAGTATCGGATTCTATAAGATTCGGATCATAATAAACATCTCGGAGCACACAAATTACTTGAAGATACTCAAAGTAATTCATGGATATGGCAAACGGGAGTGAGCTCATGTATTGCAATGAGTAAATATTCAACATGAATGTATGATAAATGCATAATAGATGAATGAAGATTTGACGGTCTACCTCTTCTAAAGTGGTGCGGTAACCAGAAAGAGCAACCTCGCAAGCATTTCTGACCACTTGACACACAAACTCTTCATTTGCTCGACTTACAGGCATTTCAAGATGGCCCCAGATTGAGTTTCTAAATAAGGATTCCAAGAGGAATGCATCGGTGCCTCCAAGCGCTAGCAACCGCAGGAATGGAAGCATTGCATCAGGAAAAGGACGGTCCAAAACAATGTCAAAATATGCAGTCTCACCAAGACCATTAGTCTCTGCAATATCCAGCTTGTCATCATAAAAAGGGTCCGACTCTGGGATCTCTAACGTCAGTGTATATGCATTGCGGTCAGGTTTCGACTCTACAAACCCATAGTCAAGAGCTAGGTCGGCATTGCTCTTTTTCAAGTCATATTGGATAAAAACCTGTTGAACATACAGTAAAAATTTCCAGGTAAATGCACTTTCAAAATATCATTAATCTCTCTATTTTTAACACTTATGGCATAGAGTATAGGCCAAATTACATTTTTGGTTCTTTATGTTTGGAAACTAGAAACCTATGGTACCTACGAGAAATGGCTTTAACCCACGATAGATCGACACTTCCTGTCCACGTCGTGCCATTCTGAAATTCATTTCACATCCTTTTGAAGTCCTTTATGTTTTAATCTTACTTTCTACTTGATCCCTAAAAACTTCCACTATCCCATATTTAGAATTTAGAGTAAAATGCAAATTAACCATCAATTTACTTATCAGAAGATCAAAATGAAATGCCCCTTATCTAAATATCTTACAGCTAACACACGTTTTATTCAATGCTGCAAGTAAATCCCAGTTTAAGAGTAAAACGTTCAACAAGCGAACAAGAACATTCTACTCCAACTATGTGATCAGTTATGTCACCCAGGTACATAAATATAAAAATTAGTTCTTCACCTGCTCGCCAGCCTTCACAGAAATTGGGGACCGGAGAGAGAATAGGATATCCCATGAGAAGAGACCTGCTGGTCCCTTAACCTCCCATGCATGTTCTTCTGAGGTTACATCAGCACTATGGTTGACCTGATCAAATATGAAATGTGTTTGAAGGGAGTTAGATTTTGTCTGAAGAAAAGAATGAAAAATAGTTCTTTTGTATAATGAATCATTATGTGTAAATGTTATTGTAAAATATAGGAAAGATAAAACTAGTCCATGATACAAGATTTAGATGTAACAATTTGTTGATTTAAATCTTCTTATGGTCTCTAAACTTTAATGTTCAGTGATCCTAAACTTTCAAAACAATATAAGTATGAAATTTATGGATCGACTCAACCTTTAAACCAAATTAACTTCGCGCGGGCGCTGCTTGTATTGTATGCATAAAATTTCAATGACAATAATAACTTAATCAAGTAAGAGTACAGATCTAACCAAGTCTGCGAAAGGGATCAAAACAAGGTTTTGGCCTCTGAGTCGTGAAAATGCTCTTGATCTGAGTATCCCAAAAGCCCAAAAGAAGTCATGCAGTGTAATTGGAGTAGGAAATAGATCTTTGTGGCGGAGTATTATCTCTTCAACCTTATGAAACTCGCTCTTAACATATTCTTTTACATTCAAAGTCGTACTCAGAAGTTGGGTTCCTGAAATGTTCGTGAAGCAATAATGTGGTAAGCAACTATTTACGGATGATTATAAAGAGTCAGGAGTGATCTTCATGATGAAAACACCATACTTATCTAACGACCAGAAACACATTTCTCCTTCCTAATCCTAATTTTTTCATAAGAATTTAGTACACAAGTACTGCATACACATTACATTACAGAATAGTGCCTTGAGTGAACTCTCTATAATGGCCCAAGCCCGCCGCTAGCAAATACTCTCCTCTTTGGGTTTTCCCTTCCGGACTTCCCCTTAAGGTTTTTAAAACGGCTAGGAAGAGGTTTCCACACCCTTTATAAGGGTGTTCCGTTCTCCTCTCCAACTGATTTGGGATCTCACAATCCACCCCCTTCGGAGCCCAGCATCCTCGCTGGCACTCGTTTCTTTCTCCCATTGATGTGGGAGCTCCACCAAATCCACCCCCTTCGAGGAGAGCGTCCTTGCTGGCACATTGCCTCGTGTCCACTCCCTTTAGGACTCAACCTCCTAAAGGGTGTTTCATTCTCCTCCCCATATGAGGTGGGATCTCGTACTCCCAAACAAATTCACGTTTTGTATTAATTTCGGTACTCTAGCTACAACCAATTTGGGTTGGGAAATAGAGAAACAAAAATTGAAAATATAAGACACACGAACCTTGGAGCTCCGCAAGCTCCTCTTCAGACCTGCACTGAAACCATCAAGAGAAGCACTCCATCAACTCCACAATGAAGAAAACACATCACAACAAGGAGCACAGATTAAACCGTAAGAAGGAAGCCAAAAACGCACCAAAACACAGTGGAATCTGTTTCCTGAGGGAGAATATCTAGGTACCGTCGCCAACGCGAATCCTCCTTGAAATTCTCTCTAATCAGAAACAGAGCAACAGAAATCCACGGCTTCAATCCACTGCAGACATTGCCAATTTCAGAATTAGCAACCGCGTCGGGGTTGATCCAGAACCGCTTGGGAACCTCCAAAACGACCTCGTTCTTGGATAGGTCTTTGGTGGTGGCCAGGCCGAGGCCTTCGGGGAAAATCGCTGGCTTCACGTGAGTCTTGGAGGAGACCAGACCTTCCTGGCGAAGCCACTCCCAGAAGGTGTGAACGTTTGAGGGCAAGGAGGGGTCCAAATCCGGAGAGGCGAGGGAATTTAGAGAGAGGCGCGGCTTGGAATGGAGAAGCGGGCGCTTTAGAGGGAATGAAATGCATGTTGCAGTGCGGGGAAGGGAAAGGAAATTGGAGGAGGAAGAAGGTAAGGGCATGGAGGTTGGATTGGGAGTCGCCATTTTCGGGGATTTCAAGCTTTCAGTAACCCATTGGAGAAGTGGATATGGAAAAGTTGAAAATTATGGGGACGTGGGATTGGCAAAGCTTATGTTCGTGGAATGGATAGGGTTCAGATTTTCCACATCCCATTTTTATTCTCATATTTATTCTTTATTTTTTATTTTTTAACTTAAATTGGTTCTATCTTATTTTACTACATGCATGCTAAAAACGCTATCAACACCACATTTTCCTTATAACGATTAAAATCTTTTATTTACAAAACATATAATACAAAAAATACACAAATAAAAAAATTGAAATAAATATAAATATAAGTTATAAAAACATGAAATAAATATAAATTTTGACGTCACTCAATATTTAATAAATGGTTAAAGCCTGAATATGCAACCCACATATGATATTCACTCTAATCAAATCTAAAATTTTGTCTTTTTTTTTCTTAATTTATGAGTCCAATTTAAAAATATATAAACAAGTTTTCTAAAGTTACTATTTTTTTAGTCTTCAAAACTTATTTTTTTAAAAAAAAAAAAATAAGTAAATAACAGTAATAGCCTTTTAAATTATTTGATTTTAAATTTTTAAGAAATCAAAACGTGGGTTATTAGGGGCTTAATATTCTTATTATAAACAATAATTAATTTATTAAAAATTAATTTAAGAGAGACAAAACTAAAAAAAAAATAACAATAATACATAGGGAACTTTTTTTTTTTCTAAAAAAAATGACATGAAATAGATTCTAAATAATTAGAAAGATAAAATTAAAAAAATAATAATAATAATAAACATTAACTGCTTTTTGAATCACTAAAAATATGAATGATCGCATAATACCAATTTATTTAAATTTGATTCTAGGATATCTTTAATTAAAGATATAATATTTTTAAAATAAGTTTAAAAACTTCATATTTTAAATATAAGTTCGAAAAAATATATATATATATTTTGTTATTTGTCGGAAAGAAAGAAAAAAAAAAAAAGAAAGGAAAAAGGTATACAATATAAAAAAATGTAGCGAATTCCTGCAAAATCCGACCATATGAATATCGATTGTTTTGTTATAAAAATCTTACCATCAACAGTTGTGTGATATAAATACTTACATCCCCACCATAAGAAACACATAGACTTTGCTCTCAATTTGATTGCACCTAAGAAAGAATTGTAATAAACATTATATAATCAATCTCTTTAGCACTCACCAAAAGCTTTCTAAGATCCCTATCAAATTGCCTCTCCCTTCTTTGCAGTGGCCTTGCGCATTTCTGTGTTTTCCTGATGCGCGCGCAGGAGTGCTGCCTTCCCCCACCTTTCTCACCTCTCTCAACTTTCACCTACAGTCATTATTGTAGGCACCTGCCCCCGGTTTACGAAGTCGATCTTGTTCAAGCGCAGGCAGCACAACATTTGCTCAGGCAGTTCTTCAGGTTTCTGTGCCTGCCACAACTCAAAACAACCATGCTTATTGGTATATGAACTTATGAACTAGATAGAGAAGCTTGAATCGTACCTCGATTGTTAATCCAATGTCCAGTATCCCATGTTTCAAACGATCACGGAACGATTCGAGACCTTTCCTTGATATATAGCTGAACCTATGTATATCCAAATCAATCTCAAAGTAGTTTTGTCCCTGAAATAGCAGCACCCATTATCAAAATCAATCTCTACTATGGTCATACCAGAATTGACTCCAAAAAAGTGGAAATCGTTTTACCCTGAAGAAGTTGTGTTGAGGTCGTGAAAGAACTGGCTTTTCATTATAAGAACTAACTAGCTTTCTTTCCGTCGCACTTAACTGGAGATCTTCAGGATTAACCAACCCACCCACTATCTTCAACCTTTCTCTGAAAGGAACCAAGGATTCTCTTGTGAATCCTTTCACTTTTTCCATTTCATCATCAATTAGCCTCTGATGAACAAAACCAGCATGCAAATATTATAATGGAACGAGAAATACTTTTATAACACAGAGGAGCTTGCAAATAGGAAGGATCAAACTCCTTCCCTATTCAACAATATTGGTAAGAACATCAAACATTTTCGAATATCCAAAGTATTTATAAAACTTGATTGAAGTGATGGAAAAGATACCCTGATGCAGTCTTTAAAATGAGGAGATATCTCTTCGTCGAAATTTTCAGATAGTTTAAAATACAGGACAAGGCTCATCCCTTCCCCGTTGTAATCACCAGGGAACATCGAAGCTGGATATGTCGGCAGCTAAGATCGAAACAACAAAACAAAATCAGTTGCAGTTTGTAACAATCTAGTTATGCCTTTTCATCAAAATATTAAATGCCAACAAATCTTCAGAGCAAAGCCAGATGGGAATATCAACTTTGTATAGGAGAGCTCACTGAAAAGAAAAGAAAAATTGTGAAAATCAAAAGACCTGAATGTTAACAATTAAGATGGATGGTAGCATTTCATGTGTTTTGGCATGTGGAAGTTCAAGATGCTGAGCAATGTGATTAATCTTCTGAGGGCAGAGAAACATGTCAACTCCAATTGGAACATATGGGCTGAAGTCTGCTGCAGGGTACTTCTGTTTGTCTCTACACAATAGGTGTTCAGAGTTAGAAAAGAAGAAGAAACGAACACAGTTAGACACTTGAAAATATAAGCACAATAGGGAAATTAAAGGACGTGAAACTCAAGAACATGCCTGAAATAATTTTCTCCACGAAGCTTAAAGACAGAAGGTGAAAGAGTGGACCAGGACGATGGAGTTATTTTTTCTCCCTTTGAACATGGAATTAGAAGTCCTGCTCTTGGACGGTATAAGATTTTCTCAGACGTACCTGTGGATCAACAAATTAAACTGCTATAAAAGCCGAGTAATCGACACACTGGGACTTACAAAACTAGTATGTTTACTTACAAATCTCAGTTGTTTCATATCCGTCAACAGATTTTCTCTTAACGGAAAGCATGATAACTGCGGACTTCTTTATATTTGCCGGTTGGGGATTAGAAGAATGATTCTTCTCATTGCAACTAACTGGAGGAGGCAAACAAGGCAGGCAAGAATTCATATTGAACTCCTGACTCGTATATTCAAAGTTCTGTGCACCTCCATCAATTTTGAGATAACTTTCATAGAAACCTTCATACGTGCTTCCATTATCAATGAAGCACGATGTGCTTTCATACTGAAGCAATTGAGCATTCGGGGCATTTCCAATTGAAGGAAAACAATCTGCCATCTCAAAACACAATGTAACAATTTTTGTGAATGAAATGTGAAAGAGAAGTTGTTGGCTGTGGAGAAGGAAGTTTTAACTTTTACCTCCATGAACACTGCTGAAATCATCATCATCCTCATCATCATCAGAGACCAAAATACTATCTGAGTCAAACCATGGTTCATCTTGGCATGATCCTACAGATGAAGCAATTTCAAAATTCACTGTTCAGATGAATATATCCAGCTTAACAAAAGTAGAAATCTTATTTTCTATCTAAACCTTCCAACATGGGAGGATCTGAGTGTGTAAAAGCTTCAGTTAAAAATTAATCTAGGCTTAGTTTTAGATATCCATTGAGTATTATGAGTGTCCAGTGCAATGTTATGTTTCTCGATAATGGGAAACTAAATATAATAATAACTTCGATTGCAAGGATTGAGAGCGGAAGCAAAGATACCAGTTGAATCAATTTGACTATGGTTCCACTGCAGCTGCTTCAGATGGAAGGTCACGTTAGACACCTCAGACCTTGCACGGTTATTAGCACCTCCCTTCTCAAAATCGAGATGAACAAACTCGCTGACTGTAAAATCTCTTGCATGGCTTCGAGAATCAGTGATTGCTTTGATTTTGACCTCAGGAATGGCAGCTGTAATCTTACTACGACGTTTTCCAAATCGTGAAGAGTATTTCCTATATGCCTTGAGATTCCGACTTAGTTTCGAGGGACAGCTACCCATTGTGTTACTTTTTAAATTCCAAACCTCTGGGGCGATAAAAAAGAAAAAAAAAAAGAGTAGCACAGCACTAAATCTCCACTCCACAAAGAAGAAAAAACCTATAATACCGTGAATGTTGAAAGTATTATCAGAATCAATCACATTACGATTACAGAGGAAGACAGTCCCTATTTCAAAATTATTGGCATCATCAGAAAAGGTAACGCTAATTTCAGAGCTTAACAGCAAATTGTGAATAACGGAGGGATGCTAATTTCACATTTACACATAAAAGGAAACCGAAAGCAAAATAATGGGGAAATGAGGGAAATCGGGAGTACCTCGTTGAAGGAGAATGAAAATCTAAACAAACTCGAACGTATCAGTGGATCCGTGGAAGAGGATTTGATGTGAAATTAGGTATAACATCGGCGAGGCAGCGAGAAGAGAACAGCACTTACGACCTGAAAATCAAAGAGAAAACAAAGAAAATGATGCAATCTGCGGCGTAATAGTTGGATTGGAATCGTAAGGGGAGGGAGAGAGACGTGCCTAGAAAAATGGAAAAATGAGGAATCGTCGTTCCTGGTGAGGAACTCAGATCCCTCGGCTGTATGAGCTCGATCTGTGTTCTTGGAAAAGTTGAATGGAAGATTTCGGTAGTGGAGAAGAGGAGAGGAGAAGAGAGGAGGAGGTAGAAAAAGGGGAATGAAGAACACAGAGTCCGTTGGATACGGATCGCCACTCTCAACTTCGCGCCAAACTAACCCTCCGCCAACTATGCATTTTCTTAACAGAATTTCTATTTTTATATTTTTTTTGTCCTATTTTATTTCTCATTAAATAATTTTTAGTTTTTTATTTTTTTAGTTTTTTTTTTAATTTAAATCTCTATTTCTCGGTGTCCATTATAAACACGTTTTAAAAAGTTTGAAAATAACATAATCTAATTATTGTTATTATTATTATTATTATTAAAAAGCATTATTTTACTTTTTAATTTATTAAATACGCAAGAAACATTTCTAAAATTGAATATTAAAAATTATTTAAAATATTTACTTTAAAAATTCTATTCTCAAGCAAAAAGGAAACCAACGAGTAGTTATCAAATAATAAACTAAATGAAAATGGCTCTAAAATTTATTAATTTAATTGAGGAAATAT